CCCCCCCCCACACACACACACACACGTTTTGGTGTGACATCGCATTTTACGTTAAAACTTGAAATAATTGACATACTATTGATGTAAAGGAAATGAGGAAATGCATGAAGTTAATTATGATTTGGTCCTTTTTCGAAGGGAAATTACCTTCCCCTCATTTTCTCAATTTCTTCTGATTTGTGAAACGTCACCATGCGCAAAATAGTTAACTTGATTTTGTTTTCATCTAGATATCTACGGCTGGGCGAATCACTTTTTTTTAAGAACCCATGTGAATGATGACCACATTTTTTTTCCTTGTACTTATTACTCTATATCGTAACTTTACATGCAAATCTGAGGCATACAGCGGAATTCTCAATGTCTACCTATTTAACAAGTATATAAGGAGTAGACTCCAAATTATTTTTATATAGCGCCTTTCACAAGATAGTTGTGCCAAGGCACTTTACGTTGGTGTGTTGTGACTCATTATGACATCATAAAGGCAGTATGTATATACCTACACAGTGATACCTTTTCTAGGTATTCCAGTGATGATTGCAGTTTCCCTCAGCTAGTTGTTGGTGTAACTTCAGCCTCTATACAATGAACATTTCCTGAAAACATACCGACCCATTCAGAGCCGCCGGACACAGACACGCCAGCTCACTTCCAGACCGTCCCCAAGGCAACCACACGTCAACAGAGGCTGGCCCTCGTCAATGAAAGCCGGAGCATTAAGTAACGGAAGGAAAGTTATCAATTCTTTTGAACTTACCTGGAATTTTGCAGAGCCCTTCCAGTCGGTATAGTACATTTGGAAACGTAATGACAACCCCGATCATCCTGTGATACTTTTGTGTAAATTGCAAGTTTCAGTGATTGCTGACTGATTGTAATTGATTTTGAGTTTGGCGTAATATGGCATACTGATTTCCACCGATAACTGTAGTTACAAAAAAAAAAATACAGTAAAATATATTCTCTGTACTACTAGTCTTTCGGGTAAATCTAAATATATCAGCCGTGGAAATATCGAATTAAACTGGAATAAAGAGGCCTGACTAGATCAGGAGTTTTCAAATACTGACCATGACAGACTATCAACCATCAAAGACAATCAAACCGTTTACCTGATTTTTGCAGACTGCGAATTGTGATGAAACAGAATAACTGAATAAAGTTGACAGAATGGTAATTGATTTCCATTCATTTAAAAGCCAGTATTATACATTAGTGTATTATTATGCTCCTTTATGCATTCTCATATATTGTATAATCACATAGTTTGGCAGATAGCTGTTCCGAACGTAATCTATGTAATGAAAGTTTAAATAATTGAAGATACAAGTGGTGTAAGAGGAGGAATTACTACAACAAACGGCCGTTAGGTTACTAATACATGTTCATGTGTTTTCTACAGCCTACAAAAACCAGAACATCAAAACTGCAAAGTGCTGAACCAACCAAAAAGAACAAGCGGAAAATCTCGTCCAAAAAGAGATCATTGAATGTCAAGTCCGCCGAAAAAGAAGGTGACATATTCAGCGCAGCTGCTATGGAGAACGTTTACTACATCGCCCATAATGCAGTGGACTGCTTACAATTCAGAGGATTTGGCAGGTCAAAAGCACCAAAGAAAAAGGAAAAGAAAGGCAAACTACATACAAGTAAACATTAGATGTCAAACCATACTCGTGCCAATACATTTTTTCTCTTATTTTTGTTTTTAAAATCTGCGTATTGCTTTTGGTTCAATGAAGAAATGTGCCCTCTAAGATGTTCAGCAATTTTGTAAAATATGACTGTTCATTTGACACTAAAGTATTTCCAAATGAATTAAGCGATTTCATCTCAAGATATGTATCTGATAAAAGCATTTCCGTGTGGCTAATAATTCATGTTACTTAATTGAATCGTCAGCCAAAAATATTAGCTGGATTGTATGTTTTTAGTTGTAAACCTATATTTTGTCCTAACGACTGTTTGTTTTATAAACCTCGTCCAGTCCTTATATCAATATTTTGGATTAACCTCAGTTGATACTGTGATACAGTATTTCTCTTTGTGGGACCCGAGCATGAAGCTGCTTTGACAGTCCCTTAGGCTCAGGTACACACAGACGTGCATGCACATTCACATTAAAGACACTGACTTGAAGAGTTAGGCAGCTACAAGAAAGCATTAAACTGGCTTCCCATCGTCGCCCACCGAGAGGCTGTTTCCCCCGAAATGCCCCGAACAGCTCTTCCCCGCCGCCTTCCCTCCCCAGCATGGCGCCCGTGTCCGTGACGGCCGCTCCGTGACGTGTTGAAGCCCCAGGTCCCCGGCTGCGATGCGCCGCTGCGCCCCTGCTCTTTGTCCTGCATTAGCGCTCGGATTGCCAACCCCGTAACGCACGGCGCAGGCCCGGAGCAGCGCAGCCGCTCTGAGGTTAGTGCCCTACCGCGCAATCTCCAGCTATTTCAGCCCCGGCGCAGCCGCAGCAAAGAACCCGGCAGCGGCGGCACGGTGGAGGGACGGGGGGTCCGCGCCGACGCGGAACGATAGCGGGGGTTTCGCCGATTGTGGGGCGCCGTTTTGCGAGCGGACTCAGGTTAAAGCGCCGATAAAGGAGGAGGAAGCATAAGCGCAGGCAGGCCACTCTAGGCCCCCATCTGCTGTTGCCTAACGGCGCCTTGCGGCGGGCGGTGCTGCGGTCGCTAGCATCCCTTCGGATATACTAATGGCGATCGCGTCACGGCATTTTATTAATGGGGACATGTCAGAAATAATTCGATGTGCGTTTTAACACCCATAACATGCTCTTCCCGTTTTTACGTACACTGGGTGCTAAGATGCATTGCGGTGAGCGTGTTAACGATCCAGCCGGCGGTCTCTTTGTCTCATTAATAACAGCTAAGGGCGCTCTGTAATTCCTTAGTTTTATTAATACCTTTAGGTTGATTGTTGGCCGTAACAGAAGTGGCGTATGCAACGCTGGCTCGCTGGGAACCGCTTAAGGATGCGACCAGCAACCGGTCTCATGCCGCCGCCCGCAGCCTTAGTGTGGATGACAGCGCTTCCTCCGGCCTCTTCGCTCCCGATCGCGAAGAAAAAACACTTAATTTGGGGTCGCGATCTGCGGGAGGCTGCGGGCTGGCGCCTTGACGCCCGAAGAACCGGATGTACTCGGTTGGTTTCGAAGTGAGGCGCTTCTCCGTTTGGTGGCCGCCGGTCGAGGAAGCGTGCCTGGGCTGGGAAGGTCAGATCAGCAGAGCCTTCGCTGCGGCGGGCCGGGTGTTGGCGGCCTATGAAGTTTTAAGGAGCTGCTGGGCTGTTCTCTAGTTAGGTTCCAGTGTTAGCGACAGTAATAGTTATAACTAATGTTTTCATTTAATGAATCTAACAACCTGCTAGGAGCTTTAACCCATCAAAACATTGGTTAGCCAGACAAAAAGCTTGGTTAATTATGGTTAATTCTCACTGTGAACTGTATGTGATTGGAATTATAAAAATGTTTCGTGAATTTCCACCTATGCTGACATGATATGCACTCACTGGCCACTTTATTAGGTACACCTTGCTAGTATTGGGTTGGACCCGCTTTTGACTTCAGAACTGCCTTAGTTCTTCATGGCATAGATTCAGCAAATGGCTTGAAACATTCCTTAGAGACTTTGGTCCATGTTGACATGACCATATTTGTTCGGCTGCATCTTCATAATGTGAATCTCCCGTCCACCACATCCCATTGGTGCTCTTTTGGACTGAGATCTGGTGACTGTGGAGGCCATTTGAGTACAGTGAACTCATTGTCACGTTCAAGAAACCAATCTGGGATATGAGCTTTATGACAGGGTGTGTTATCCTGCTGGAAGAAGCCATTAGAAGCTGTTTACACTGTTTTCATAAAGGGATGGACATGGTCAGCGACAATGCTCAGGTAGACTGTGGCATTTAAACGATGCTCAATTGGTACTAAGGGTCCCAAAGGGTGCCAAGAAAATATCCCCCACACCATTACATCACTGTCACTAAGCAGAATTGTTGATACAAGGTATCCATGCTTTTATGTTGCTTACGGCAAATTCTAACCTTACCATCTGAATGTCACAGCAGAAATTCTTAATTGTCACTGTTGACACACCACAGCACAACCACAAAATGTGTCCTCTGCATTTCACCGATATGTGACAGCAGGGGCAGTTAATTCAATGCCCTGTTGAGCAGTGCTTGGGGGCGGTACCTTGCTCAGGGTACCTCAGTGGTGCTTTGCTGGTCGGGGATTTGAACCTGCAATCTTATAATTACAAGTGCACGTCCCTAACCATTAAGCCACCACTGCCCAAGACTTGTCTGACCAGGCACCGTTTTTCCAATCTCCCATTGTCCAGTTTTGCTGAGCCTGTGCCCACTGTAGCCTCAGCTTCCTGTTCGTAGCTGACAGGAGTGGCACCCGGTGTGGTCTTCTGCTGCTGTAGCCCATCTGCTTCAAGGTTCGATACACTGTGCATTCAGAGAGGCTCTTCTGCATACCTTGGTTGTAGCATTTTTCCCAGAGAATCGCAGCTCACTGGATGTTTTTTCCCAGCCCATTTTCTGTAAACCCTTGAGATGGCTGTGCGTGAAAATCCCAGTAGATCACCAGTTTCTGAAAATTTCATACCAGCCTGTCTGGCTGATGGCGGAGTGGTGGCTCTGAGGCTAGGGATCTATGCTAGTAACTGGAAGGCTGTTGGTTCAAATCCCCTGAACGCCCAGAGTGATCATACTCTGTTGGGCCCTTGAGCAAGGCCATTAACCTGCAGTTGCTTCGTTCTGGGTATGACATTAATCTACATCCAGTCCTATAAGGAGGTCCTCCAACTTACAGGGAGTAACTTGGGGGTAGGTGGCAGGATTGACACACCAGCCATTGGAAAAAAATAAACCTCGCACTGGTCCATTCAGACTAGTGTGGTGCTGAGGGATCACCCGCCACATGGCTGCACTCAGGTTCTCATCCCTGAGGTGGTTTGTTATGTGGTGGGTGTGGCAACGCACTGTAATCAGTGCACGCTCCTTACACACTGTATCAGTGCACGACTCCTTATGCACTCTGATCAGTGCACGACTCCTTACGCACTGTGATCAGTGCACAACTCTTTACGCACTGTGATCAGTGCACGCTCCTTACACACTCTATCAGTGCACGACTCCTTACGCACTGTATCAGTGCACGACTCCTTACACACTGTATCAGTGCACGACTCCTTACGCACTCTGATCAGTGCACGACTCCTTACGCACTGTAATCAGTGCACGACTCCTTACGCACTGTGATCAGTGCACGCTCCTTACACACACTATCAGTGCACAACTCCTTACGCACTGTGATCAGAGCACGACTCCTTGCGCACTGTGATCAGTGCACGTTCCTTTCCTGTCTGGCACCAACACTCATGCCATGTACAAAGTCACTTAAATCATCTTTCTTTCCCATTTTGGTGGATATTGTGAAGATTAACTGACCTGTATCTGCATGATTTTATTCATTGTGCTGCCTAACATATGATTGGCTGATTAGATATTTGTTTCGACCAGCAGTTGTGTAGGTGTACCTAATACCGTGGCCAGGGAGTGTATGTAAAGAGCTGCTCCACTGTAATATGGCATAGGATAAATGGATTTTGTATTTTAAACATTTTTGTAAGCACTTAAATATATTTATGCTGTTGGTGATAAATAAAGAAAAAAAATCTAAAGTTTTATAATGTCTTTATGTCATCACAAATAATTTTGGTGTATTCTGATGCAAAGGTCTGTTAAATCTTATCAAACAAAGCACACGTCAGAAGCGGTGTTGAGCTCTCAGTGATGCACACGAAAGCAGGCTGAAATTTAAAGTGGTTATGGAATTAGAAATACAGCGTCACCATTTTAGTTAAAATACCACCATGACCCTCAGCTGGAGAAGTGGGTCGCAGATGGCTGGAAGATAGCTGATGGATTCATTTAATAAGTTTTTGTCAGGTTCACTATACATACAGGAAGGAAGGTGAGTGTATCCTGCAGTGTATCCACCTTAAGATGTAACATCTGCAAAATTACAGCAAGAAGCAAAGGAAAACGACACAGTACCTTCATGAAACAAAGAAGCACAGATTAGAAACTGATTAGCCCTTTGGTTGTAATGGGCCAGTCTGCTCCAAAGAAATCCAGTGTCTCATCTGTTCATGTGTTTTAGTTTGGCTGGGACCAAACCGAGAACCATGGCTCAGCTATTTGATGTAATCTATAATGGAAACTTATGGGCCAGAAGTGTAACGTTTAGCTGCTATACACAAAACATGCTAATTGTGCGCCACTCAAAGTTCCCCAGAGGTATTTAGAGTGTTGTACCTCTCCCTGTAGCTGTAATGAACCCCCGGTGTGTGTTTCCGGCTCCTGCCCTCCCAGCTGATCCAGGTGAGCGACAGATAGGCCATGGAGGAGCACCAGACAGACATGAGCACCATCGAGGCACATGCAGTGGCTGGCCAGGTGCAGCAGGTCCATGTGGCCACCTACACAGAGCACAGCATGCTGAGCGCCGACGAGGACTCGCCCTCCTCACCCGAAGATGACACCTATGATGACTCAGACATCCTCAACTCCACTGGGGCAGATGAGGTCACAGCCCACCTGGCTGCTGCTGGTGAGATGTGCTTGTGCTTGTAGTGATGGGCATGTCCACAAGATGGAGCCCTTACACCACAAACTTCTAAACAAAAAAAAAGCCAAAAACAGCTTGAGTGACTGTGACACTCACCAAAAATGGATCCTTGAGAAATTTTTGATTTCAGGGAACATATATAATTGCTGTGAAACCATTATAGCAAAATACATGTCTAATCATCAGACAGATTCTTTGGTCTGGCTGGCAGAATATTCTCTTGTAGCCAAAAGCGAGGAGGAAAAACTGCCAGCCCAGAATATTTTTAGGCCGACTACATGATCGGTGGCCCTGGCGTATCTTTTGGGGTTTGCATGCTCTCCACACAGCTCCCTCACCTCTTCTTTCCCCTCTAGGCCCAGTAGGAATGGCGGCAGCTGCTGCTGTGGCGACGGGGAAGAAGCGCAAACGGCCGCACATCTTCGAATCCAACCCCTCCATCCGAAAACGGCAGCAGACGCGATTGCTCAGGTGAGCGCCGCCCTAGGGGTTCTGATCTGCCTCTGCGCACAACACGGATACGACTGATGACACTACGCATCACAGCAGGAGTCCTCGGGGGTCACACTATGCCCTGGCCATCCGCCTTCCCTGTGGCCGCAAATCCCCGAGAAGCCGAGCTGTCACGTGTCGGCCACTGAGCATGAGCCGTTTGCCTCCCCAGGAAGCTGCGGGCCACGCTGGATGAGTACACCACCCGCGTGGGCCAGCAAGCCATCGTGCTCTGCATCTCGCCCTCCAAGCCCAACGCCGTCTTTAAGGTGTTCGGGGCAGCACCACTGGAGAATGTGGTATATCCCAGCCGCCTGCCACTCTCACCTCTCCTTTCCTGCCTGCGTATATTGCCTTTATTTCTATTGTATCTCAGCACATGAAAATATTCATAATTCCTAGATAGCACTTCGTAGAGCAGGTTGTTCTAAATAACTTTGTTTCCACCGTAGTTGAAAAGGAGCTTAATGAATTATTTAAAAATTATATGAGTAGTTCTCATCTAGGCAGCGATATTAAGGTATCCATCAGTAAATCCAGTCACGAACAGAAGAACAAGCCTTGTCTACCTTTCAGTGGTTTTTCTGCTGCCCCCTGCAGGTGAGGAAGTACAAGAGCATGATTCTGGAGGACCTTGAGAATGCACTGGCCGAGCATGCGCCCCCAGCCCCCGAGCTGAGCTCTGAGCTGCCGCCACTGACCATCGACGGCATTCCTGTCTCTGTTGACAAGATGACCCAGGTTAGGCTAGGCAGCTGCTAGGCACCAGGGGGCACTATTGCTATTGTTCATCAGATTAGTTCCTAACCTGATTTCCATTTACTGCCTGTCCTTTTGGTATATCTCTGATATATATACCCATACACTTTAAAACATGCTAAACTCATTACATGTAGTGGCTGATGGCGTTTTATTGGACATGGCTTTACTGGTGTTCCTTCGTGAACCATTGAGCTCCCAGTTGGCTTCTCCCAGCACTGGTTTGTTTACTCAGATCAGTGTAAATATCCCCCCACCACCACACTGGTTCTTTAGAGAAGCAACTCAGCAAAAGCAGTGCTGATAGGGTGGGGGCAGGGCTGGAAGTCAGCTGGCCAATGAGAGCTCTCACTCAGACAGGTGTGAGAGCCTGTGACTTGTTTTTCAACAGACAGCACAAATACCCCCCCAGGCACACGCACAAATCTAGCTTTGTATCGTGCCAGTCCCAGTACTGCACCTAATCAGAGAGCGGCAGGTGAACAGCGGCCTGTTGGGGGGTGGGGGGTGCAATTAGCCAGCCCTCTCAGCTCTCATAGCTGATTGGATCCCAGGAGGATTAGCGTGGAGGCTGACTTGTCCTCCCAGACACACATGGCCCCATAATTCCACTTCCCCTGTAATTAAACACACAGTGCAGCCTGAGTGCTAGCTGGGGTGGAGCGATTGAGGAGTTGACTGGCCATGAGAGGGGACTGTTAAGACTGTTTTTAGCAGCCTGTACTTCTCTTTCCCTCCACCTGTGACTCATGGGGGGTCAAGGGAGTGGCCAAGGTCACGCTCAAGGTGACTGATGAGCTCTGTGTCCTGGCTGGAAGGGCTCCCAGTCCGCACTCCCTACTGCTGGGGTACTTGTGTGGGGTGGCTCTGCTTTCTGCCCTGTACAGCTGTGACAGCTGTGGTCGCAGCTGCTAGCATGGCGGTTAATGGTCTGGACTAACACTCGTGCTGAACCCTCTGTAGACATGCTGATGTTGATGTGTGTCACCCTCCTAAATGTACAGGCAGGAAAACACAGGTGGCCTGGCTGATAGGTTACAAGGAAGACAGACTAGGAGGCAGGCAGACAGACTAGGAGGCAGACAGACAGACTAGGAGGCAGGCAGACAGACTAGGAGGCAGACAGACAGACTAGGAGGCAGACAGACAGACTAGGAGGCAGGCAGACAGGCTGGCAAGGAATCAGGCAGATGGACAGGTTGAGAGGAAGACTGACAGGCTGGGAGGCACACAGGCTGTAAGGGAGGCAGCCAGACTGAGAGGCATACACACTAGAAGGGAGATAGTCTGGAAGGGAGGCAGACAGACAGACTGGAAGGCTAACAGACAGACAGACAAGTGGGCAAGCAGACAGGCTGGCTGGTAGGGAGGCAGGTAGGCTGGTAGGGAGGCAGACAGACAGACTGGAAGGCTGACAGACAGACAAGTGGGCAAGCAGACAGGCTGGCTGGTATGGAGGCAGACAGACAGGTTCAGTGGCCGACAGACAGGCAGACAAGCTGGAAGGAAATCAGACCGACAGACTGGCAGACAGGCAGGTAGGTTGACAGACAGACAGGCTGGCAGGGAGGTGAGCATTCTGCTTTTGGCATTCAAAATCAACTCTCCATGCAACTTGATGGTGCCGGTCTAGCTCTGGATTTATATGCAAGCGATTCATTTTCCGGGAGCCAAATTTAGCCCATGAGGTCAGGCAGCCGACGCTGCAGTCCTCCACTGTGCAACATGATCCTGGTCCAGTGGGCAGCCTAGCAGCGGCACTGAGGCCTGGAATCAAACATCAGGATAGGGCGTGCCTGCCCTGCATCTGCAGACCGGCTGTGGGGGATAATACAGTCACGGCTCTGTCCACTAGTCAGCAGTGCTTTTTCTGAAACCAGAAACCCTGCATTAGCTTAGATCACACAGTTTTGCTTTGACTTAAAGACTTCATGACCTTGAATTTTCTACGCCGCGAGGCCGTTTAACAGAAATGTGGGTGTATCCAGACAGGAATGACCGGTTTGGTAAAGGGACAGCACGAGGCATCCTGTTTAAAAGATTGGAGTCAGGCAGATGGACAGTCGGAGGTTTGGCATGTATTTCAATCTGGAAGGGGGGGGGGGGGGGTTGTCGGATGGCTAGTCTCACAGATTAAGGAAAAGCCTTCTCCAGTGGTTGGGGAGTGTGAGTTTATGAATCTGAGCTTTGGCTTCTTGGAAAGCAGTAGGGGAATATTGCAGTCTGATTGTGGTTTGATCCCCCCACTCCTCCCGCAGGCCCAGCTGCGGGCCTTCATTCCCGAGATGCTGAAGTACTCAACGGGCCGTGGGAAGCCCGGCTGGGGCAAGGAGAGCTGCAAACCTGTGTGGTGGCCAGACGACATCCCCTGGGCCAACGTGCGCAGCGACGTCAGGACCGAGGAGCAGAAGCAGAGGGTGAGGCCACTGGAGTCACCAGAGTAGTGGGGACGTCCCACGGATATAAGCTGGGTTAAGGTGTGGCTCCATCTCTAGCCCAAAAGGATTCTGGGTAATCTTTATCTTTATAGACATGTAGCTGTCGGAGGCTATGCTTGATGCCACTGGGACGCCAGAGTACCCAGTCATAAACTTGGCTACCCAAACATAAACCTAGCCACCCACTCATAATTAATGCCACCCAATCATAAGTTTGGCCACGCAATCCTAAGAAATGTCACCCAATCACAAGCTTAGTCACCCAATCCCAAGCTTAGTCACCCAATCATAAGCTTAGTCACCCAATCATAAGCTTTAGGCATGTAATGATGAATCGCGAATCGGTTAAAAATCCATGTAAATGTATGACGATTTAAGCTGGCTGATGTGGAAAATGAATCGCTACTTTAGGAGTACTTCACAGTACTTTAACAGAAAAATGACATTTGATTTCACGACGTCAGTTCAACGTCAGATGTCCCTGCGTATTCACGTTGACGTCGTATGTTAGTTTTTGGTTTTGACCGAACGCGAGATGGCGAGCGAATTTGAAATTGAGGACACGCTGCTGGGCGGCACGGTGCCGCAGTGATTCGCACTGCTGCCTCACAGCAAGAAGGGCTTGGTTTTGGTCCCGGGTCCTTCCTGTGTGGAGTTCGCACGCTGTCCCCGTTTTCACCGGGGGCTTGTGGTGTGTTGGCGACTGCCCAGGGTTGGTTCCCGTCTGCGCCCATTGTTCCTGTGGTCCCCCCCGCAACCCCAGTTGGGATTAAGCGGTTTCAGAAAATGGATGGACGCATCGTCCGATCTTAAATCGGCGGTGTGGCAGCATTATAGCTTTCCGGTAATTACAAACGAAAACGGTGAGAAAAGCACAGACAAGACAAAAACTGCATGCATAAAAAAATCGTGAGAAAATCGTATCATGAATTCAGAATCTTATCGAATCGTGAGTTGAGTGTATCGTTACATCCCTAATAGGCTTAGCCACCCAATCAGCAATGCCAATCATAAGAAATGCCACCAAGTCATAAGAAATCCTACCCAATCATAAACCTGGCCACCCAATCATAAGCAATGCCACTCAGTCATAAGCTTGACCACCCAATTATAAGCTTAGCCATCCAATCAGCAATGCCACCCAATCATAAGAAATGCCACCCTGCCTTAAGCTTGACCACCCAATGGGTGTTGTACCACTGGGGCCGTCATGATGGCATGGCACGTCTCCCTTCATGGTGCTCTCTCCATCTCACTCGCATCCCCTATCAGCCCTGATTTCTGTCCCCGTTTTCGGGCCCCATCCCAAGTAGGTGTCCTGGACCCAGGCACTGCGGACCATTGTGAAGAACTGCTACAAGCAGCATGGCCGGGAGGACCTGCTATACGCCTTCGAGGACCAGCAGGCACCCCCATCCCACATGGCCCCTGCCACCGCTGTGACCCACGGCATCGCGCACCTGGTGCCCTCGCAGACCGTGGTGCAGACCATCAGCAACCCGGATGGCACTGTTTCCCTCATACAAGTGAGTCTCTGCAGGGGCTGGACGGGCCCTGGAGCCAGCTGACCCAGGTCTGGACCACCTTTGTGCAGAGAGGTTCGACGTATCCCATGTTTTTTTTAGGGGGTGAGGGGGATACAATCAGTAGTCCTCAAAAAATGGATGTTCATCTGATTTTAGTCATCCACATAGCCAAGACGACTAAAATACTGTAGGTATGTACCTGAGTAATGGGGGTGCCCCCCGAGTCCCAGCACACCCAATATACACTGGTGTTTTACTCCCACCCCCCTGCTCCCCGTACTGTACTCACAGGTGGGGACTGGAGCGACGGTGGCCACCCTGGCAGATGCCTCCGAGCTGCCGGCCACCGTCACGGTGGCCCAGGTGAACTACTCCACCGTCACAGAGGGAGAGGTGAGGCCCTGCCTGATGGGGCACGTTGGAACCCGGTGGGTCTGAGTAAAGATACGGCAGTAACCCCTCACGAGGAGTCTCATCCTCGCAACAAGTCTCAGTCTGAGTAAAGATACGGCAGTAACCCCTCATGAGGAGTCTCATCCTCACAATGAGTCTCAGTCTGAGTAAATATACAGGAGTAACCCCTCACAAGGAGTATCATCCTCGCAACGAGTCTGTCTGAGTAAAGATACAGGAGTAACCCCTCACAAGGAGTCTTATCCTCGCAACAAGTCTCAGTCTGAGTAAATATACAGCAGTAACCCCTCACAAGGAGTTTCAGTCTGAGTAAAAATACAGCAATAACCCCTCACAAGGAGTCTCAGTCTGAGTAAATATACAGCAGTAACCCGTCACAAGAAGTCTCATCCTCACAACAAGTCTCAGTCTGAGTAAAGATACAGCAGTAACCCCTTACAAGGAGTCTCATCCTCGCAACGAGTCTCATTCTGAGTAAAGATATGGCAGTAACCCCTCACAAGGAGCCTCATCCTCGCAACGAGTCTGTCTGAGTAAAGATACAGCAGTAACCCCTCACAAGGAGTTTCAGTCTGAGTAAATATACAGCAATAACCCCTCACAAGGAGTCTCAGTCTGAGTAAATATACAGCAGTAACCCGTCACAAGAAGTCTCATCCTCACAACAAGTCTCAGTCTGAGTAAAGATACAGCAGTAACCCCTTACAAGGAGTCTCATCCTCGCAACGAGTCTCATTCTGAGTAAAGATATGGCAGTAACCCCTCACAAGGAGCCTCATCCTCGCAACGAGTCTGTCTGAGTAAAGATACAGCAGTAACCCCTCACAAGGAGTTTCAGTCTGAGTAAATATACAGCAATAACCCCTCACAAGGAGTCTCAGTCTGAGTAAATATACAGCAGTAACCCCTCACAACGAGTCTCAGTCTGAGTAAAGATACAGCAGTAACCCCTTATGAGGAGTCTCATCCTCCCAACGAGTCTCAGTCTGAGTAAATATACAGCAATAACCCCTCACAAGGAGTCTCAGTCTGAGTAAATATACAGCAGTAACCCCTCACAACGAGTCTCAGTCTGAGT